GCCCCCACTCTGCCACTGAGATGCATTTTGTCCAGGAAACCACTGGCGAGACATGGCGCAAAATGGAATGAGACAGGATCTTGTGTACCAAATATAAATACGAGAACTGATTGATTTTGGTTGGCGCACGCATGTGTGAGATGCTCCCCCAAAGTGATTCGTCCTAAGCTGTTGGGCAGCAAAAAGCAAATCAATTCATTGTTGCGAATGGTCAACAGGTGATGAGCAAGCCGCCACAGAGCTTCGTCGGTCGTCACCGTTTGGTTGGTTGTGAATTTATTGTGAGATTTGAGACGATTTACGATCATAACTCAACTTAACTGTCTGCCTGCAGCACTTGAAAGCAACCGCAGCTGTAAACAAAGTGCTGTCCAAAGATAAGACGCAATCAAACAAGAAATGAATAACGACCACAGGAGAAAGCATCAGAACTCTACAATCCGCTCTCATGCTGAGTCAAAAGCCAACGAAAAAAAAAAAACATGAGTTTGAAGAGCGGTTTTAAAGATAGGCAGCGAAGGGGCTGGCTTAACATCCTATTCAACATGCGTTCAGATTTTTTTTTAAAGACTTTGGAAAGCTTGTCCCAAGATATTTTTAAGGCCGATGAAGGCACCCTGGAGAGCTCGTGAGTAAAGATGGAGCGGACTGGTCGCTGTTGTTGGGTCACACTTTGGACTCCAGCGTGCCATTTGAAGAAGCACAGACCTGATATCAGTTACGGCTGGCTGAGCAAATCCAGCATCATGAAGCTAAATTGGACACCGGAGATGAGAATAAAAATGTCTTCTTGTATGTTTTTGGAAGGGTTTCATACATCAATGTATTTGGCCAATTAATGGTTCCCAGTAGTCAATCCGGCAAATACAGTCAATAACTTGAAATGCCAAAGACCCAGCAAGTGGCAAAGTTCCATTTTTTTCCTATTCTTGAAATCCCTCTTCATGCCAGACGAGAGATTTTCTCCCTCTGTACGCAAGTCCTTTTGTGTCTTGCCATCACTGGCACATCTGCACTGGATTCTCAAATCAAAACGAGGTGCAAAAATAAACAAAACAAGGCAAGTGAACAAGAATAAACACGCGCTCTCCAATTCAAACGTGTCTACTGTAGCAAAACGTTTGAGGGATACTCCCAGCCTGCTTCCACAAGTGCGGGGACTCGTGAAAGCTGCCACACGATCCTCCGTCTGACAGACGGGGCCAGGTTCCCCTCGGGCGGGAGGCACTTCCGTCGGTGCCAACTCATTAAGAACCCAGCTGGTTAGGAGGCCAGGTTTGGGGATAAGACCGCAGGGCTTCTCCCATCAACATGTGATTGAATTTTCAGCGTTGAAGAATACGCAGCCTTTGATACGCACGCATCTTGCTTTTGCTTGAAACGTATGTACAAAGCCCCCCCCCCCACCTTTTTTTTTTTTCGGCACGGTTCGCGCACGCAGCCTTTGATACGCATGCATTTTGCTTTTGCTTGAAACGTACGTACAAAGGCCCCCCCTTTTTTTTTTTTTTTTTTGGAATATGCTGTTTTGTTTTGCAGGCAGAGGGAGCGAGCCAAGCGACTGTTTCCAGACTTGGCATGGCAGCAAACAAGTTCTGGAAGGAAGCTGGATGACTTCTTCTTCACAACAGCTTGGTTGACAACAGACAGGAAGGCATTTCAACCAGATCCAACAGACAGCCAAAAAACAGGTTTCCATGCACCCCACCTCCCCATCTGGCAGGGATGGAATACATCCGGATAACTGGTATTTGTGTGTATTGGCCTGCAACTAGGAACTGCGGTTTTGTATTTAACGAGCCAAGCACGCCTTTTCCACAAAGCTCAAGCGGAAGGGATGTTACGCCCGGTAAGATCAAGTATACGTTAGTTTGACCGATAACACTCAAAAAAGCTCCACCCATTGAGTTGATATTGGATTAAGCGTATGTTGCTTGTTTACAGCAAGACGATTTAAGGAATGGAAGGGGTCGCATTGAGCAACGTCGCCCACTAGATGTCACTGACACCGGCAATTGAAACTTGAACAGGACATCACGGAGCGGGGCTCGACAACCTTTTTTTCAGGTGAGTGCTCACTCATTCTTGGGGATTGAGTCATGTGAAGGGATACCGGTTTTCGTACAAGTTAAAATGACCTTGAATTCTATGGTCATAATGAATGATATATAAGTGAAGGCACCAACCATGTTCAGGTTTGCGCAATAATTTTTAACAGTAATGAGCAATTCAAAAAAACACTTTGTTTCTATCAATTCCTGTAGCAAATGTCAACAATTTCAAATGATCACCTCACTGGTGAGCTGAGTTGGTGAGCGCTTTCATGGAGGTCCACATCATTCAGTCAAGATTAGATTTAAAAAATAGTCTGCGTTAAGAACTTCTACGTCATAAATGTTTGCGTATTGTCATACGTACACTGCTAAATTCATTGAAGTGGAAGAAAAAGATTGAGGTTGATTATGAAATAAGCACACGGATTTTGGATGACCAATATGACCTTGAAATAAATGTCCCTGCCCCATCAGATCTCCCTCCTCCCCTAGCCCCCCACCCCCATTTTATAAAAACAAACAAACACAAAAAAAAGCAATGTAATCCTCCCGCAAAAACAGACAAACGATCTCTCGATGAAATTGATATTTTACCAATCCCTAATAGCGAGTTGATCAACAGGAATTATCGAATACTTTTTGGACTCACCGAGGTTCCATCGGAGTCCTGTTGTGGTCGTTTGGCAGGGTCCCCCAACTGGAATAAGGCCACACCAATCGCCCTCGATGCCCGTGTTCACCCCGAGTGCGTGCTTGCCCTACAAAATACAAACATGATAATTTTTGGCAAGTTGCATCTCCTCGTTTATCGATCCAAAAATGAAGCGCACACACACACATTATTATATCGAGTACCATATTCGCCATGATCCATCTCTGCGTACTGAATTGATCGCAACCGGATTATCGAAGTTTCGGATGTCAAGTGTGCCACTCGGATACAAAGTGGGCATACCACCGAAGGCTAAGTCCAAACATCATCGGGAAAACGAAGGATGCGACGAGGCAGCGATGGTCGGTTGCCGAGCGGCAAGGCGTCGCCGCTTCCATTCCAAATGTAAACTCAACAACGAGCGCAATTTTTATTTCTTTCCAAAGGTCGCACTCACCTTCATGTACAGGCATCTGCGTTCATCAGTCGCTGGCAAATTGGTGCTGTGTTGACAAATGAGCTTCATTTACCGTCGCTGAAGTAAGATTAATTGGAGGTGTCCAAGTATAAAGCAGCAAATGACAACGCGCCTTTGGAATAATGACAAGAAATAGCGAGGGGGTGCGTGAGAGAGGAACGCTTCAACCGTGAGACGGTTTCACCGGGAAGGCTAGCAGTCTTGCATGAAGATCTTGAAAATAAACAAAACAGGAGAAAATGGAGAAAGGAGAGAGGCAAACAAATGGGAAGTGTCCCTCAATGTCGGCCTACTTGTAAAGTCAATCAACGCAGGGCTGGGAGGACGTGCCTGGCATTGAGAAAATTCAATTCGGGGAGCATCAAACAAGGCTCGCTCTATCTCATACAGAACAGCAAAGTGGGCCATCACAAGTGTGAATGCTTTTGATTATTTAAAAGAGAGAGGAAGAGGCAAACCCGGCAGCGAGGCAGAAAAGATTTGGGAGAGGCCGTGTGCGCGTGCTGTTCAGTGGGGAACTAGCGTGCGGTGGTCTTCGACGCGACCCCGTCATTCCTCCCGTTGCTTATTTGCGCTTATTAGCAGTGAGTAAAATCGATGACAAATTGCATCTGATTTAGACGTGACGACAACTTCTATTTTGCCTTTGCGGCGATATCTCGACCCACACAACAATACGTGCGCGTGTCATCGACTCACAGGTCTGAGCAGGTAGGCCAGGCTGGTCCCTTGGATGACTAACAATGGGAGTTGCGTCATAGACAAAGCGTGATGGAGGGTCTCGAGAGTAGCCATGATCTGGTCAAGTCTGCCCGCCAGCCCTCCCAGTGTCACGATGGCATCCACCTGAACATACGGCATTGGATGTTATACAGAACGGCATGATTCCATATGTTGGGCTGCGTTTAGCCAACACAGACAAAGATTGCAGCAAAAAAAAAAAAAAGCATGTCAAGTGACCAACAGAAGTTTGTGTAAATCAGCCGAGACGAGGGTAAGACACTGGAGATCTTTGCAAAGTCATTTTAGAACAAGTGCAGTATAAATAGTCTCACTCGACTGAATTTGACTTTTGTCCATTAGTTTCAAGTCGGTGCCAGGAAAAGGTTGGCTTAGTTTGGCATCGCACACAGCACAAGACTGGAGGCGAGAGCAAAAAAAAAAGAAAAGCTCGAAATCAATGCCGACACAAGGCAGAGGGCTGAAAGTGCACTCGTCCTCATGTGACTCCTGTTTCTTACGGTAACACATGGGCTTCGGGATTGATTCGATGCACAGGCAAGCCTGTTAGATAACAAAAAGTGCATTTATCGATTTGCTTTTTTTTTTTTTTGCAACAATGGGCAAGCTAGTTGTATAACCTTTGATCATCAAACATCGTCATACCGCCAAACATCCGAACCACTCCTTTATATTTTGAAGAAAACATTTTAACAAGTGTTTCAAAACTGGTGTTTTTGTCACGGAAACAGCACTTATGAGACGATCTGGTTTCGTTACCTGGCAGGATCGCATTTCCTACACCTCAATCGATGTTGCTACGAGTGAAACTGTCACCTGCAGATTCCGTTGTTGAATCTCCTCCACCATGATGAGCAGACACTTCGTATAGTCCGTAAAATCCTGGTCGCTTGTTTCTATCAGACGGCACCCCTACATACAAAAAATAAATAACTACATCAATTAAAAAAAAAAAAAAAAAGAACAGTTATTTGTCTCGAGAAACTCTGTCTCTTCTATGCAGATTGAATCGCTACCGGTCGCCCATTCTGAATGTTTTACCTATTCGTCCAGAAGAACCTTTCCTCAAACCAAGACACCAAAAATGTTTTGGTACGGTAAGATTAAAAAAATCATCTCGCGGATCTAGCACAAACCCTTTGCGTTTACTGCTCAAGAGGTGACTTCTCAATAGTCTAAGTGTGAGTGTGGGCATTTGTGGTGATTTCCACTCACCTTGTCTGCATAGAAAGCTCGGACCTCCGCAGTAATGGAATCAAAATCCCCACTGATATAGTCGGGGCGGAAGCTGAGTAGAAGGATAGCGAGTGAGCATGAGTCCCAGAAGAAAGAAAGGTTGCGAGGATCGCCAGAAAAACAGCAGAGTCGAGGAAAGACGAGAGAGACAAAGTGCAGAGGACATCAGGGCATGTGTCAGGACTTTGATATGAGCGGCGAGCGACGGGGTGATTTGCCGCGGGAAGACAGATCTGTCACATTGCGCCTGGCGCTCCTTTGCTTTCGAGTGCGCGGAAGGTCACAAAATCCTCTTGGAGGAGCGTTGCGGATATCAGAGAGGAGCATTTGTCAAAGGCACACAGATAACATGTCTGTGTGATTCCAGCCATGTGTGCGTTTGTTGCTAAGAGGCCGGCCCATCCGGGGACACGATGGCTGCTATCTTGCGGTGTGCCCAAACAACACGATTTCATGGCCGGTTGGGCAGCGTGCGTGCGTGCTCACGTACGCTTTTATATCTCCTCTTCCATTTGTGGACGACGGCCCTCGCCGTGGTTTGCTGTCGTCCTAAAACTTGAGGAATGGCTTTGTAACGCTTTCCAGATTGAACGAGGTCTTCTCATCTGTTTGTGACTTTCTTTGAACCGTGGCTTTTTGTTGCAGCATTTTCGGACCTTCTGGCCGCCAACTTCATTTGCTCGGACGAGCTCTATTGAGGTGATTTCAGTCAAATAGATCTGGAGGTCATCAGGCTTGACTGTGGTCAGTGAAAATGAACTAAGCCTTCCAAAGAATGTCATGCCACAGTTATTTCACGATTCAGCAGACGGTCAATTAGCTTTTGAATATCTTTTCTTTTTTTTTTTCTTGAACAAATGAAAGCACCGTTTAAAACTGCATCGTATGTTTACTTGATTTACATTTTTTTTGAATGTCTTAAACACTGCAGTGTGGAAACTATGCAAAAGAAAAGAACATTAACGAATTAGAGAGGAGGGCAACCACTTTTTCACAGCACGGTAGGCACAAGTGCAGGCATGGTTCAAGAAGTCAATACTGAGGCTGAAACAAGCACGCACGCACCCTCATGTTGATATCCACACGTACACAGCTGTCCAATTACATTCAGCCACCATCCTCTCCCTCTTCACTCATCTCTTGACTTTTTTATCCTCCCGCTGAGGATTTGATGAGATGCGCTAATTAGACAAATGTCATTTTCCAATTAGAAATGGGAGCGGATGCAAGGCTTGAGTCAGAGGAGCGCCAGGGGCATCAAGGGGAGACTATTTCACAAACATATGAGGCGCCATGAAAACTGTTTTATTACCGAGATATGATAACAATTAGCCAGATGATGATACTGAGGGAAATGCTTTCGTGTAAATTACCATCATTTATTACGCTTCTCGTTGTCAAGCTGAAACTATTCAAGGGGATTCAACAAACGGATTGGTGCATTTTCAATCAAACTCAACTATCTTCACTTTTGAGTCGCTCCACGACAACAGACTGGCCTTGCCTGATTGCTTTTCACTTTCTTATCATCAAAAACTCTTTTCAGCTCAAAATAGCCACATTTCAATCACATGTGGCAGATTCAGTACGCTGAGCTAATGGCGTGTCGATCCATATTTACATTCCCAGTATCGCTGTGTAAAATCAGCAGCGGATTCTCAATAACAAGATCTGAGAGTCAAGGTAGAAAGCTAGAGTGTGTGAAGCATACTTGCATAGACATCATTACCGTGGAGGAGGTGGGGTTATTTCATGCTCGCGCTGCATCACGAGGACTCGAGATTCAGCTTAGAAGGGAACAAAACAGGGACGTGGCCAATTTGAGCGATTGCTGTCTGATTGATGTGCCCCATGCGCACCGTATATAATTAAATCATGCACTATACTCCGAATGTTGTTATCAAATATAACGTTGCGAGTAAGCGTGAATCGGAGTAACACCCCATGATGCCATGCGGAATAGCAAGAAAGCTATCACGAATGAAACTAGAAAATCAAAACAAAAACAAACAATATATTAATATTGTTTGTGTTTAGCTAAGCATTATTTTACTGAAACCGCTTCAACTTTCAGAGGTCATGAAAGCAAGTATAGCTCTGCAAACTTTGTGTTCATGTCACTGTATAATTTCCACTGCCAGCGTTTATTTCGCTACACTGTACAATTTCCACTCCACGCAGGCAGACGGGGACACACAAATGATCGCTTGCTACTCTTTAAGGACGTTGCTTCTGCAGAATGAGCTAAAGTCATTTGCATTTCACAGAAATATCCCATTTATGTTTGTCCTTCAGAACGCAATCTTGCAGGTGCAGCATCTCAGTGGGAAATTGCTATGCAATAGTTTCAACCTAAATTTGAGAGAACTTCTATCCTCTCCGGCGTGCCGGCCTTCATGCAAACTTATTTCACGCCGAGTTATCATTTACTGTTGCACACTCACATTGACACAACAGCACCCCCAAAATTATGCTCAATTACAATTGGATGTTTTTTTTTTTTGGTTTTATTTTTAGGTTATTCAAATGCAATCAATGTGCTTGGACAGCACAGGAGCCGCCACCGTTACACGAACACGACGCCGTGCTGGCTTGTGTTCGCCGTGTTGACAGCCTCGGTCGCACGAGGCCACCGACCGTCCAAACAGCCTTTCTATGGTGAGAAACGGGAATGCCTGTGTTACTTCATCTTCCCAAACGCTTTTTTTCAAAGTCATGAGCGATAGGCCCAATAATAACAATGAGGTAAAAAGCCTCTCCTTTCTCAAGAGAACTTTGAGAAACAGTCGTTCACGCCTTCGTCACATCCCGGCTGGATCACTGGAATGCACTTGACTTTGGAGTCAGCCAATCCTCCATGAAGCTTCTCCAGTTGGTCCAGAATGCTGCTGCTCGCCTCTTGACCGGTACTCGTAAGACTAAGATTTTTTTTCTGCAGAATTATTATTTTTTTTTTTTAAAGAGGATTTGTAAGTGTGCATCCACACAAACCAATCAATCATCCACCTCTGTGTCTTTGTTGTTTGCGGTCTCTGGCCCTGAGCTTGCTCTGTTGCAATAGCTCATTGCCACTTAATCTAATCTATTTTACTCATGCACTGGAGGCATCAGTAAACGCAAGGTCCATCAGACAAGAATGATCATGTAGATGATTGAATAAAGGATGAGATCTGGTGGGACTCCGTTTCAAACCGACCTTGACTTCGAAAACACACCCCAAACTTGCTCATGTCCCATCACGGTAGCAAAACACAAGAGGTCAAACCCTCATTTTCATCACCAGCCTTTAAAGAACAGGCACTACGGTTCACACTCAAGCGTCAATGTTGAAGCCTGAACACTTCAGGGACCACAGAGGCCCCAGATTCATCTCGGTGCTAACAGTGGTTTTCCATTAGCCAGATACTTTGCCATTTAGGGCGAAAATGTGCAAAAACAGCCTCGGTATGATTTTCGGAGAGCCGCATCAAGGTTATTATAGTTAACGAAAAGTAACAAAATAAAATTCCAATTGCAATGCTTTTCAAAACAAAAACTAACTGAAACTGCAGCTTGCACTTTAAAAGCTAACAAAAATGATAATTACAGCGAAAATGTTTGTTTTGTCTTTGTCAATTAATAACCCACGTGAGCTTTCGGGATTCGTTTTTAAAGGTGTTGATTGCAGAATTGCTGTATGCCCATACAGAAGAACGGAGGTCAAACAGTCCTTTGAGAATTGTCCAATTAATGCAGCCAAAAAGACGCGTTTGTTCAAAAGCCTGTGTTTGTTTTCAGGATAATAAAGGAAATCCGAGGAGGAGGACACAAAAATAATACAACCCCCCCCCCTCCACCCCCCAAATAAAAATACAAAATCCAGAAATAAAATGTTGAATTTGAATTTGCTTTTCCTTTGAAGCCGAACAATAATCCATTAGCATTTTGGGAGTGCAAAGAAAATCAAAAGATGCAATTTTAAAGCTATACTGGCCAGCATAGTTGTAATATAAAGATGATTTTGACAGAGGGATAGATGAAGAAAACAGGCAGACTGACCTGTCACTTTTTCTGGTGATGTGATACAGGTGATTGGCGCCACCATCAGCACACGCCGTCACTACGGCTACACGGAGACAGCAAGATAAAAACAGACATGAGGGAAATGAAAATTTGATCAATTGATGTGAACAGGACTCTGCGGTGTCATGATACGGCACAGTGAATGTCATATGCAGGACACCGGATGAGAAAATACACCGCGTGGCATGGTGCTGTTAAAACACGTGCACAAATATTGGCTTTTGCACCGATAACAATCCGGAATATGCTTTTCCTCTTGACATCCACAATTTCCAACAAGAATTTGAAATGTTGACGAGGGGCTTAATGAGAGTTCACTGTAGACTTAAAGCCTTGGTTTTAAACACTGAACAATGACTAACAGAAATCATCCATCCATTAATTAGTGAAGTCAATAAACTACTGTGAGAATTGAAATCCTACTTGAGGCTTCAGTTGTTGACCTTGATGTCAAAAAACAGAGTGGACGTGTTCATTCTCTTGCTGGTTCGACAAAAAGCACAAGGGCTGATTTCGAGTCACTTTAGGGTGACAATTCCATCCATGCCAGGATGTTATTTGGGAATGCACTTTAACAATAAAGTCTTTATCAAGTCAAATATATTTACAAAGGGGGGTGGGGGGCATTTCACCTTTATTGCTCATTTCCAACATATTTCAACATGAGGGAGTTCTTACCTGTTCTGGTTTTAAAAGCAGACAAATGAGGATGTTTGCTGTTTTTTTTTTTTTTAATGAATGATATGCAGTCCCTCTATTTAAGATGCAAACTATTTGCAAATGTATTCTCTTTCATGGCTCCTATTCAATTCCAATGGAACAGGCAGACCATTTTTTTGAAGAGCCCTTTTATGTTCGGGGCTGTTAGGGCGCACACAAGGGAAAGACTTCAAAGACCTTGCGCTGCTTCTTCTTACTTGTACCTTATGCAAGTCGCTGTAGCGTGCGCCGAAAAGAGATTGAACGCTTACACGTCTGTCTGCTTCATGTCAGACTTTTTCTTTGTCCGTGGCCATGTCTGTCTGGAAGTAGGAGCGCATTTACAACAGGACGAGACATCTGGCATTTCATTGTACCCCGGGTCGTCGTGATAGCCAAAGGTACACTTTGCGTTGGTTCGCAATGGCTCATTATCATTCAACAGGGCTGCTATTCTTATTACTATCATTATTAATCGCGCAGGCGCTTTTGGGTGAACGTCGACGTAAGCAGTCACGCTTGGTCACTTTACGATGACGTCATGACGTCGCTCCTACTTGGCTCTTTGCCGGTGGAAAACCAAACGCGTTTTTTGTACGAACTTGTTAAGCACCAACTCAGCGCAGCACTGGCCCCGGTGCCAAACGAACACCAAGTTTGTTTTTGTTGGAAAAGGGGTAAGAGACTGTAATTCCCAGGAAGTGCAAGGTCTCAGATCCCGTGGATGTTTCCTCAGGTCCACAATCACCTCCGCCGTGTTTCGGGCCAGGAAAAGGGCATATTAAATATTTTAGCGATGTTACCAACCACCTTTAACCCGAAGAACTGAAACAAATCTGAATGGAAATGATTGTTCACCGTCATTCTTCCACTCCTCCCTACTTTGCGTTCTTCTTGACGGCACATTTTTGCACGCCACTCCATCCTTGATTGCAAACACGATGCTTGACTGACTGACGTGTAATAGGCCCAACCCACAACAAGCTCTTCCACATCAACAAATGATGACGCGGACCTCGTTGGGGTCAATGCATGCACAATTTTGATCCGACACGGAGCGTCACCTGCCTTGATTGTTCTCATGAAGTTGCTGCACCCCGTCTTGAGTGCGAGCTAGTCGATGGGTGAGTGATAGACTAGATGTGCGCGAGGAAGATAAGCAGCTTGGTTCCACTTGACAACATCGCACCCGGCACCCGTCCAAAGGTTCCCCTTTGATCAGTATTCTGCACTCTACCTTCCAGTAGCTTTTTGGGCACCCTGCTGCTCAACCTCTCCCAGAGGTGATGAGGGGAGCCCAGGGGCAGCACATCACAAGGCTCAAGTTGACTCAATGCGCCTGTGTGAGTGTGTGTGTTTCATCGGGTCGCCGGGGGTGGAGACCTGGCTGCGGCGCCGCCATGTCGGTGACACACACACACACACACACACACAAACAGGCTAACATCTGTTTAGCCCATAAACACCATTAAAAATACATGGCGTATCGTGTTAAAGGATTTCGCTTTCAAGATGCAAGAGATCTCGGCATCGCCGTCATCTCATCAGACCATCTTATGCTCCCATGAGCCAGGAGCAAAACTGATAAGAAAAGCGTCTTCGTCATCATTGCTTGCGGCACTTCAAAAACCTCAGCCCAACGTTCCTTCAAACTCTATTTGAAACGATGTCTTATCTTTGCCAGAAGAAATTTTCAAACTTGTCACATCCCAACATCGCGTGTTTGATGGGTCGAACCTATCTCACAGTGGTCCTGATGGTATACAAAGTTTGATCCGATGTGACTGGCAGATTTTTTTTTCTTCCAGTGGAGTGGACTGTTCTGCTCACATTTTGAGTTCCACTGAGCAAGCGTGACGTGCCAATAATCTACAATAAAATCAGCGCAAACTAGATATTTTGTATCTGTATATTGTCAGAATGACAACGAGAGGTCTAATTAGTTTCTCTTTTTAGTCAGGTCATGCAACATGAACAAAACAGAGCCTGGAGCTTCATTTTCTCTCCCCTAAAATGTTCCCCCGCGAAAGAATGAGCAAGTGTGTGCAGTACTGTGCCGGGTTTTGTTTGTCATTTACTCTGATAAAGTGCCTTGGATTATTTATAAAGCACACAGCAAAACAAATGTGGAGCCTTTTCCAGAGAACTGGTCCTTTCAGATCTCCGGGGTGCTGCAATGTTTGAGACTGCAGCAAGGTCAACGTTTTTCCTCGTGATCCAAATGCCCTCCAGCAGAACTGGCGCTTGCAAATGGCTACATTCAGTAAGCTGCTAACACGCAAGTATGCATATGAGCTGCGCACCAATTGGCAAGTTGTTAAGATGAGACTGAATTCATCATGCTTCATCATGCTTTCAGGGCAGAAATGTGACTGTTTTTTTTCTTTCTCACAATCAACCATCCGTAATATTCCTAAGTGAAAGCTTAGTTGCAAATTCAACTCAACTGCATCTACAGAGCACTTGAAAACAACCGCAGCTGTATACAAAGTACTGTAGATGGTGCAAAAATAACTCACACGACGACAAACCATCAATTAATAACAAAGACGGTGGAAAGCACAAAAACAGTGAAACTAAAATCAAGTCTCGTGCTGCGTCAAAAAGAGCCAAAGAATAAAACCGAGTTTTAAAGATGGGAAGCGCGGTGGGTTGCCAAACGTTTAGTCTTTGGTCTGAATGCCGAGGTCTGGCTAGTCATTGATTATTTGATCACGGCACACACTAGCAGAGAGGTGCGCGCGCTTGTTTGCACAACAACCAATAGCTGTAACCGGTCTGAACATATTCACATTCCAGTTCGTGCATTGTGCACAGGGGGCTACCTGAAGACCTTGCAAAATACTTGAAGCTCAAAGAATGATTAAAACAAAATTTAAAAAAAAGGATTGCCATGGGTTGTTTAAACACATTCATAAGAGGTATAAAGTCATGTAAGTCAGTCTAATTTGTGATCATGACTTTGACCTTAACTGTTAGCGGTAATGCTTACGGCTAGGAAATTTTTCAGGTTTGCAATTGGAAGGTCGCAGGGCAGTCATGCTGAATATTCAGCCTGTGCCGGGGGACTTCATGTTGTGTCAAATTAGCACTGTTTTGTTGCAGTCGACGAGACGCAGATGTATAAATGTAACCAAGTGAACCATACTTGAACTTTGGTTGTGAATAGAACTTGTTTAACGAATGTAGCACTGTCTCTTTAAGAGTAGCGCTGTCTATAATCCCGTGAGAACACGTAGCGCGAGTGAGATTTAGACCAGGAAGTGAAGGGAGGATGACGTCACTGCGAAGGGGGATTGTCTCTGAGCTGCGCATGCCGCTTTTTCCAACTTAATACTGTATACCCGTGATCGTCATTGTGACCCGGGCGATATTCAGGTAATAGCAACTGGGGATCGAGGGGGTATTTCCCAACCCATGCTTATATCAACTCGACACCCCCCGCCCCATTTGTATTTGGTCCACATCCACTTTCCACAAGACTGGCACAAATGAGTGAAAAGGGCGCAGATTACATGTGAACAACCGAAAAGGGTTTATACCTTTACTCCACAGTATGTCAAGATAGTCCTTATCCAAAGGCTGGTTCAGGATGATCAAACCGATCCTCTGTTTGCCTGCAGTCAAAGAGGACAGCATGAATGACCGCATCCATGTTTGAGCAGAACTCTTATGTTTGTGATATTTGTACAGTATTGTTAATTTAAACAAGTACAAACTCCCTAAAGTAAAGTTGATATAAGCAATTATTTTTCCACCTGTTCTCAACAAAACAACAAGAAAAAAGGGGGGCGGGGGGCTTCAAAGTGAAATAGTGAATATTTCTGGCACGAGCTCTTGCTATCTGTCCCCAAACTGCAGCTCTCTACAAGAATGTGTTTGACAAAAGTGGCCTGACAGTAAGAACTTCGAATACTGTGACCTTGGATAGTGCACCATCTGCGACTACATGGCAGCAAGGGTCTTTAAAATCAGCACCGAAAAAAAAAACCAAAAACATGTCAGCTTGTCACCTCCCTCCTTCCTGTCGCAGACTGCCCATGCTTCATTGTCAAAGTCCCTGTCCTGGGATGAATCCGTTCCCAAATGTAGTTGGCCTCCTCCCTCCTAACACCATCCATCTTGCCTCCACTCTTCTTTTTCTCCCCCTTTTGTTCCACTGCGAATGCAGATCTCCCGGCTCCTAATTTGCAATTGCCATTTTTCTATCTGCAGGGGAGCAAAGGACTCACGGGAAAGTCTGCATCCTTGACAAAGTAAAACTGCAACGGCTCCAATAGCATTAATGGGCCAAAGATTACAGCGGCAGCTCTCGCCGTTGCACTGTATTCCATTTATCTTCCACATTTGTGTTTGCCTTTATAAATCCTTTTCCATGCATTTTTAATGTTGGTGCATTTTGGGTCAAAAAGTGAGTCATTGGGAAAAACGTTTAATGGGTGTTATTTTCCTATTGAATACGTGTACATGGTTTTAGTTCAAGTGGATCCTTGCAGCATTTGGGACTAAGTTGACTGGTCCGATGTGCTGCCATTTTGAAGTCAACGCAACATTTCAGGGCGTGTCAAAAGTCATTCAGGCGATGGCAGCAAAGAAGGATTCCAGTTATGGTCAAGACAAAAAGGCCGGCTGCTTTTCAATGCGATTTTATTGACGCTGTGCATGTGTGTGTTTTGCACTGACAGGACGGAGGTTTGAAAGGAAGCACCTGAGGGCAGCAGGTACTCCAGAGGTGACAGCTCTTCATCCATGACCGCGGGAGCAACTCGCTGGGATCTGAGGAGAGGGGCACAGATCTTTGAGAACGTTTTTGCTTGTTGCCTCACTCTGAGGTTTTCCTCATATCCCAAGGTTTGAATACACTTCATCACAGTTGCTCGGGACTCAGTCCCCCCCCCCCACCCACCACAGTTAAATACTTCCTCAAAAATACCTGAAACTAGCCTCAAAAAATGATAGGAGGCCCGAATGCTTGGCAATATACGCCGTGACAATGGACAGCTCCAAAACTGAATGGGCACAGAACATACGCATTAAAACAAGAGCATGAATGAAGCCTGCTGTGGTATGATATTTCTAGCCAGAGAAGAAAATCATATGGGTTGAAAAATTGTTCAAAAGACAGCTGGAGTCTGGCTTTTTTTTTCTCCTTTCCCCAGTTGTACCTCACTGCACATTCACAAATAAAACACAATTTCAATCAATTAAGGTGACAGACTCATTTCACCCGATGCACGCACATGTCGCTGCGAGCGGCTCTTCCTCCTCCTCAAGCTAATACTCAACATCAAGTTCTAAACGTCATAGTGGGTTTACAATTTACCAAGGGGTAACTTGAATATGCTATTGTCGCGGTTAACATCACTTGCCCCAAATCCAAAACAAGTCCCAACAATAGGTCAACAGATGCTGATCCCTTTTGAGCCACTTGCTCCTAATAGCCGCGATGCTCCTCATCTTCAATATTTGTGCTTTCTTCTCTCACCGTGACGAATACGTAAATGCAAGTATCTCACCCCAAATCCACATTCATGTCATCGTTCTAAATGTTTCGGCATCACGTCCAAAATGTTCTCACGCTTCTTTAGATCTCCAATGATTGACAGAATGTGCTGTCTTGCTTAAAAATCTACCATGGCGCTTTCAAAAGACAGAGAAAATGCACCGCATACAAATATACACATGATTAAAGGGATAGACTTCTTTCCTTTTGTGAGGGAAATTAAGTTGACACTGATTAATACCGACCAAGTACGAGCAATACTGAGGTAAAATGAAAAGAAATTTGAATCAAATCTAGGCAAACGAGGGAAGAAAATGAGAACATTAATTTGTTGCATCTAACACAAACAATGACTCTTTGGATAAAAATACTACAAGCCTGAATGCTGAGAAACATACCAAGTCTTCAGCTCAAAAATGAAATCGATCTTAATAGCAAGATATGTTTCACACGTCTGGACGTGTAATACTTGTCAACCCATTTTTGGTGTAAAAATAATCATACTCACATGAAGTATTTTTTTTTAATCCAACTTTCTCCACCTGGCATAGAAATAGCAGTGTGGCGAGTGTTCCAAATGTCCCTCATTCACTTTTTATTCTCCCCCACACTTAAACATTGACACAAAGTTGAGCATTATCAATCATTAATGGTTTTTGTTACTGATTACTGCACCAGAGTGTTTCTTAATTTTCAGTCTGACAATCTGATCAACCCAACATGATCTTGGTGAATGGGAGCACTTGCCGGCTGGTTATAAACAAGACAAAATTATGGATTGTGTTCTTTTGTTGCTTATCGTTCACCCATAAGTGAATCGTAATAATTCCGCCAGACAATAATATATATTGCTCTGTTAAGAGCCTGTTCGAACAAGCAAAAATCAACATTTAACCAGGCAGCTTGGCCAGTAATTTGGACTTTGCCCAAATCTAAAGGTGCGCACTGCAGCGTTATAACACGACACACGCATGCACGACGACACGTCATCTTTTATTCAAAATGCATTCATTCACATGAAATCCACATTTGAGATATCACTGGAAACGAAATGTGACCACGTTATAAATGTGATTATTATTATTATTATTATTTGGGGAAAAGCCGAAAGGAAAATAAGAAGATTTGGCCAAAAACAAAAACAAGACTTACAGGCTAGAGATACTTCCGCCTATACAATGTCCACAGTCAACGACGACAAACAAGGAGGCTTCTCAACTGAAGGGAAAAGTGGTGGCATTGTGAGTTAGGGACACCTACAGGCCAAAAAGGGAAGCACATTTTCCTGCTCCCGAAAAGTTGTCCTGTAATGAAAGCGTCCAAATAATACGCGTGTGTGTGTGTGTGTGTGTGTGTGTGTGTGTGTGTGTGTGTGTGTGTGTGTGTGTGTGTGTGTGTAAGTAGAAGTACAAATCATCGTGTTAAAGAAAAAAAAAAAGATAAATACAAATTCAACTTATGTAAAGTAAAACAGTGCTCTGAACTGTGAAATGCACTCCTACACTCAGTACAAAAGTAAAACCGGATCTGCTGTAAACATACTGTCCGTGAGGCCACAAAAACAACTAGCGCCAGGCAAGCGGTGACAGTCCAACAGCGCCCACATTCTCTGCTCAACAAAAACGGGCTTCTTTTGGCGCAAAACAACCGTGCCTTTCCTAAATAACCATTTGACCTTAGGAGGCGGTCCATACTTGGCACCACAAACGGGGAAATGTTTTTGTCACGTGGAGGCGGAATTAGGAGCCAGGAGCAGACATGCCACGCCAAGTTGAAAAGGAAAAGTCTTTATTTATGAAAACACAAAGTAACTACAGAGAGCAGGGCTGGATGCAGAAGACACGGAAGAGCTGACGCTCCGGTAGAAAGCTCGACGTACTGACAATCTGTCATTGAATAATCCAAGTTCACGTACTGTGAGACATCAAGACGATACGACAAAAGAAAGATACAAAGCATCAACGAGCGCCAACAACCGCAAAGCAACTAAAACAATAATGAGGAACAAACAAACAGTCACAACAGTTTTCATTGAAAAGTAATAAGGAGTCATCGAAACGGACACAATATTTTCGACATCGAGTGTGGAAGTACATGATGCATGAATGCCAAACACGCAAAAACAAATACAGATAAGATCGAGGCACTTTGGTGATGCGCACTCACACACTCCCTTCGGCTATCCAAGAACCTCCCTACTGAGCAAAATTATCCTCACGCGTAAACAGACAGCAGGAGCACACACATACACGTACGGCACACGGTAGTGATGGCGCACGCCTCAGATACGTTCAGACAGCAGTCGAAGGCACGCAAAGCGCGGCACCAAATCCCTCTCAAGGTGAATCCACTGGGGGGGCTCGTTAAAACAAACTCTCTCATCAATCAGCAGTTCTTCGGGCTTCCTGACACACTGCATGTACGGGAAGTGGGGGAATATATACACACACACACACACACATACACACACACACACACACACACACACACACACACACACATACACACACACACTTGTGCTCTGTGCAAATGCACAAGGAGTCATTCATCCTTTAGGCATGCATTATAGATACATCCATGAATAAATTCCCATCTGACAGGATTAGTTATTGGGAAGAATGTTTTTTTTTTCTTCCCCCTTTTCCCTCCAAGTTTATCCCCTGTGGATATTAGATCAGATCTCCTGCCCCTCGCTGACATTTGATGCCCATCACTTACCAGTAATGATCGCGTTTCTCTGTCTTTACGTCCTTTTTCAATTTCAACACAGAACCTGCATGTAGGCTATATGCTACACACTGTCATTAAAATTCCATCACTGAAATACGATGCCAAGAAGAGCAACAGAATTATGATTCCTTTTATTATTATTATTAATTTATTTATTTGGCATAACATGTTTAACTGGACAGTTGTGGCTGGGTAAAATCTTGGGTTGAGCAAACTACATTCATGGGGCCATTTGTGGCCCCATGGATGTGGGTTGTACAGTATGCTGCTTGGAAGGCAATTTTTGTCTCAATTCTAACCAATCGTCTGCAGTGGGAAAAGGTGGAAGCAAACTTACTCCGGGTATGCCTGAGGACTTTGAAAAGCGGTCGCAAGCACAACGGTACGGCATCACCTGTGACCGGAGACGGGATGTGGATGTGGCGGGTCCACGACAAGGGCAAGGGGCTGATTCTATACATGGAGTATTCCCTCTAACTCCGCCTAGGCTTCTTGTCGTACATCCGGGGGATTTCAATGGGTTCACCTAAAATGACTTGTGTCCCTCATTTGCCCAGCAGCAGGAGAGCAATGTGACCTTGCGTCCCAAGAGAGTGCGCTTGCCATCTAACGGCCGGACTCGAATCTCAGGGTATGACATACGGTACGGTTTATTCATCACCAAGGGCTCTGGTTCTGTCCGAGGGTTCTGGCACCAACTGCGGTGCACATGAGCAAATGACGTCATCAGAGGCCAATAGTAATCGGGGTGAGGCAAGAGAAGGTCATGCAGAAAGCCAATGGCTCTTCTTGCGCGCATGACAACCTGAGGGGAGAGATCAGTCAAGGTTAGTACTATCTTGGAGTTCGGGGTACAGGACTTATCTGGAGACGGCTGACTTCCAAGAAGCTGCTGGCAAGCTTCTTGGGGGAGATGGAGCGCCCCACATCCGATGCAACGGGGGCAGATGCCACGGGCCTCCTCGTGCTTTATTTTTAACCTGTGGTGGTTCTTAAATGGCCGCCACTTATATGGCACTTTTCTACCTCGGGTACTCCAAGCGCTTTCCACTCTTACCACAGTCACCTTCTGATGACGCAGCATCAGGCCCAAGTGGGGGGTTCAATATCTTGCTCAAGGACAAGGTTGAAATGGCCGGTAATTGAACCCCCAACCTCTGAGTTGGGAGGCAACCACTCGACTGCTGAGCCGTGCCGCCTCCTCCGTTATCCAAAAGAGGGGACGGAAACCTGTCAAGCTGCTGCTAAGTGTTTCAGCGCGCTGCCTTGCAATGACTTCATTCCAGATGTTTGACACCAGTTGTGCAATGATTTTGCCTCCGAGCTGTGCAGACATAACAAAGTCATGAAAAAAAAAGGCTTGAATTTTCTCTGCGGTGCGCCAGATGCTTTTTGTTTATGCCGCTGATATACGGAGGCTAATTAGGAAGACAATGATGCAAGAAAATAGTCCAGGTGATGAGTTGGAGTTGGAAAGTTGATGACTGTTTGGTTTGCCAACACACCTGCTGCTGCTTGTTTGACTATTTTTGGATGGATGTAGAATATTCATGAGAAATATTGAGGGTTGATTGAAAAGAGGAAGCAGCGTTTCCTGTTATTTTTTTTTCAAGCAATCACTTCACTTTGCAATAATTGTTAAATGCTGAGTTCCATATTTATCTGTGCTGCTCAGATTCAGGAGGGGAGGGGGGGGGGGGAACCCCAATCCCAACCTGACCCGACTATATATTCCATCCATTCCTATTGTTCAATGATGATGGGACATCAGCTTTGTGTCAGCAATTTTATTTTTTTCAAGAGGTAGTTCAGACAAAAAGCTGATGGTGAACGTAGATTAAAAAGTCTTATCATAATGGCCTCTTTAGTGATGACAAAATGATGCATTCACGATGCCTTCGGGTCTCTTTGTCGAGCGGACACAATTGCCGTTCATTGTTTGCATCCCCTGTGGCGGCTCCAGCCTTGTTGTGTGGACTTTGCATGTTCTCCCCGTACCTGCGCGCGTTTTCTCCGGTACTGCGGTTTCCTCGCACATTCAAAAAACACGCACAGCAGGTTCATGGAGCACTCGAAATCGTCCCTAAGTGTGATCGTTCGTGATTGCCCTGCGATTGGCTGGCAACCCGTTGGGGGTTTCCCACGTCGACTGCCCAAAGAAAGCTGGGACGGGCTCCAGCACGCGCGTGGCCCTTGTGGGCAGAAGCGAATTAGAAATGGATGGATGGATGTGTATGTATATGTATACATCAATCTCCCGGCTAGTCAAGATCTACTGTAGCTGGCTGTATTTTAATCCCATTTCACCAAAACAAACTACAGTAAATACTCCATTTTTTTTTCAATTCAAGGGTCTATGTCCAGTACTTTATCTTTAACTGCAATCGACCGTGAGTTCGCACAGTCCGCTATTTGAAGACACCCTCGACAGGTGAACACACAAATGATCATTTCCTTGCGTTTTTGAATTTCTGCTTGAGGTTTTGAGTTTTTGTTTTTCTTCCTCCAAACTTGATATATGGCATCATTGTTCCCCAAGAGGAGCGAGCATTGAAATGCTCGAAGAATAAAAAGTCAAGAATTTCATAACATCCACTCGAAGGAGGAGGGGGGAGGGGGGGGCGCGTGGGGGGGCAAGAAAAATAAGCAATGAAGGAAGATTTCAAATATGAAGCATTGCTGTTGTCAGTGCCGTGCATATATCATACTCCAACCGGGTGTAAAGGAAAAAAAAATATCCAAATATACCGAGAAGAGTCCCCAAGCAATGAAATACTTCACTCTAATATCTTGCCTCATAAAAGATGGGTGGCATATTGAGAGCGCACAGGAGATAACCGGTGCTCGATATACATTTATGAGATCTAAAAGGCAGAAATGGCAAACAAACAAATCAGGCAAGAGCATTTCGATGTGCATCATACTTGGCCCTCCACGGGAACACATCTTAGTGGGAAAGGCTTCCAATGAGAAGGGGATACCCAACGCTTATATCAGTCTTGAAGCTCAGGGTGCGCCCGTATTGGTGATGAGACTCTACGTTTGCACCCGTAGTGCGACACGCACAACAGACACAACTTGACCAGCCTGAAAGTCTTTATGTTAAGAGCCATGTCGGCCGTATGGAGATACTTTGAGACAAACACTGGTGAGAACACGGCGCAGCTTATAAAAAGGGGAAAATATCACACCGAGGTTGATCTCTCATTTGCAGCTGTTCCAGCTTCCGCAGTGTAATCACCCAATTGCAATTTGACCAACCCAAGAAACCGAATGGAGTCATGAAGTACTTGACTTGTGGAGCGCAGACACCT